TAGAGCGCCCTAACCGGCAGTGGGATTACCCATACGGCTGGGCGCCGCAGCAGATGCTCGCCTGGACGGGCTTCCTCCGATATGGCTATCAGGAGGATGCGGAGCGGCTGGCGTACAAGTGGGTTTACATGATCACCAAGGCGTTCGTCGACTTCAACGGCGTTGTCGTGGAAAAGTATGATGTCACTCGTCCTATTGATCCGCACCGGGTCGATGCCGAGTATGGCAACCAGGGCACCGACTTCAAGGGAGCTCCACGTGAAGGGTATGTTCTTATTCCTTTTTCTTTTTGTGATAACTTGGGTGCTAATTTCGTTGCAGATTCGGCTGGGTGAATGCCAGTTATGTCTACGGGCTGGAGATCCTCAATGCCCACATGAGACGCTCGCTAGGAACTATCACTCCGTATGAGACGTATCATAAGGCAGTTATTGCTCAGAGCGCATATTGATTGAATTTTTGTTGCTGTTACCAAGATTGTTGCATGGGTTCAGTGAACGTGAACAGCTAAAATGAGAATAGAAAATTTATCTAGGAGCGAGCAAGATATTGGATTATGGACATCATCAGGCAGTGTTTACTGCCTAGCGCTTGTTTTCGGTTAACAAATTCTCTTTTGCTTGAAGATTGAATAAAATAACAAAAAAAGAATGGACGTCAACTTATATTCTTGCTTCATGGTATGCCGGCAGATACATCCTGTGTGGATGTCATGATCTATTATTATAGTACTTCGGGTAAATGAGAACCCCGCCAAACGAGCTCGACTGTCTGGAGTATACGGAGTACCCCAGAACCACAACCCGAAGCAAAGCGAAAATCAGGCGTGGATACCTCGGCAGAGCAACACTTCCCCGACCGAGAAAAGACCGCCCTTCAGAGATCCCGAAGGCGTCATTGTAGCGCTCTCCGCAAACAGGAGATCGATAATACGACGGGTGGGGAGCTGGAGATCCCTGGTTTTCCCGAGGTTGTTCTCGTAGACTCTGGGGGCTGATGAATTGCGGTATGGATGTGTGTACTTGTTTCTAGGTGGCCATTTAGTATTCTTTTTGTTCAAATATTTTTAAAGGTGTGTGTGGAGAGAGTCGTCGGTGGTCTCCCGAAGTCGTTAAGCCTTCCAATCTAAGCTTATCTGATGTTCAATATCCATCCATGGAAGAGATTGAACGTTCTTCGGGTTGTAGGTGCAAGTAGTATGTGGTACCTATGGTACCATATATGCTGTGTATAATCTCTTATACAGGATTCAAAGATTATGTACCTTGTTTCATGTTATTGTTCCAGACCCTATTTTTATGGTGTAGTCCCTGATGTACTAGCCTTATCGGCGCTGTATGCGGTTAGTCTGGCAGAGCTCAGTTGTGCCGAGGTCCAATTTGAAGGGCGAATTTGAGTCATTTTTCTTGCGAACAACGGGGTGGACCCCCTAGGATCGGATAGATGCATGCGAAGGTCACTTGGAAGTATCATATGTCTTCCGATATGAATTCGTGAGGTGCTGGGGTGCCGTAATATATTTGCATATATGGATATTGTAGTGTACAAGATAGAAGATTGCCAAGAGACTGACGGACCGCGTAGCTTATTGTTTCAAGAGGACATATACATATACAACTTAGGTCTAGGTCTAGGTCTAGTCGTATAGCATAGATAAGAAATCACAAATATAAATACCGAAAACACCCGAATATATTACATATGTACATTGTGGCAGAACCCTAATAGTGAAGGATCTCGAGGGTTAGTGGAGACTTGTTGAATACCGGGGCATGACAAAACGGCAAGGATGACTCAGACAGACGTCTCGGCATCCATAGATTGTTTCTGGGCAGTGTTTCAACGGTGTTTCTCTCCGATCACGATGATTTGCCTCATTGGATGGACATATGGTATTACAGTGACTTTGTAGTCTATTTTAGACTAATGAAACATCCATATACTGTCCGAATACAGCTGATGCACGTGAAAATGACCATACAGTATATCTCGTATTATCACGGTAATGGCATGTGTCTTTCGACGTCATCCGGTATGTTGACGGGCAACATCGAAAATTAAATATCTCGCATTAACTTGAACACCACAGAATGAAAAGGGAAAAAAAACACCTGCAATGCAATCACCTCTATATTCTAATGAGATGCCGATCATTGTGATGCCAATGGAAGATTGTGCAGAGTCAGCAGTGGCAAAGGGTTTGTCCCATTAGACCGAGGATGATTAGAGCCTGGATCCTCTCTTCCGAGACCAGTTGTACCCGCCTTCCGCCTTTCGGAGCGCTTTGTCCGTGAAACATTGGTCGAACCTGCACCTGAATGAACGGCGGCGTACCTAGGCATTGGAAGTATTGGCTTGAGTCCCGGTGAGCCGAGCGTTTGCCGACTGTGACGCATTTGAAGGTTAAATAAGTACCCCGGGTTCTGGCTTGTGATCAGCTTCTTCTTTTTTCTTATAGGCTTCTCTACTCTTTTTTTTTGGCCTTTATATCCTTTTCTATATTTATTCCATTGTCTATACTTGGAACATTGGAACAGACGTGACACTTTTTTGCACGCTTGAATATACTATTTGACTATATTTATACCCTTTTCCTGCATTATATTAAAAGTCATGGGTCTACACGAAGATGAGGACCGCCAGTACGCGGCGGAGGTTCAGGCCGTTCAAAACTGGTGGAAGGACTCTCGGTGGCGCTACACCAAGCGCCCTTTCACTGCCGAGCAGATTGTGGCCAAGCGTGGTAACCTGAAGATCGATTACCCATCCAATGTGCAAGCAAAGAAGCTCTGGGGTATTGTCGAGTCGAACTTCCAGGTAGGTTTAGCTGTGAACTATCGACCATGGTTCACCCTTCTATAGATACTAACTATACATTCCACGAATAGAACAAGCAGGCCAGCTTCACCTACGGATGTCTTGAACCTACCATGATCACTCAGATGTGCAAGTTCCTCGATACGATCTACGTCTCTGGCTGGCAGAGCTCTTCTACAGCTTCGTCCACCGACGAGCCCTCCCCCGATCTGGCCGATTACCCCATGGTACGCTGAATATAGTGGCGATATCAAAAGTTGGCGCATACTTACAAATACGTTATAGGACACTGTGCCCCGCAAGGTTAACCAGCTGTTCATGGCACAGCTCTTCCATGACCGTAAACAGCGCGAGGAGCGCGTTACCACCCCCGCTGGCCAGCGAGGAAACGTCGCCAACGTCGACTACCTGCGCCCCATTATCGCCGATGCCGACACTGGACACGGCGGTCTGACCGCTGTCATGAAGCTGACCAAGCTCTTCATCGAGCGTGGTGCCGCCGGTATCCACATTGAGGATCAGGCCCCCGGCACAAAGAAGTGCGGACACATGGCCGGAAAGGTCCTTGTCCCCATCAGCGAGCACATCAACCGCCTGGTTGCCATCCGTGCCCAGGCCGATATCATGGGTTCCGACCTCCTGGCCATCGCCCGTACCGATTCCGAGGCCGCCACCCTCATCACATCGACTATCGACTTCCGCGACCACGCCTTCATCGTCGGCTCCACAAACCCAACCCTCCAGCCTCTCAACGACCTGATGGTTGCCGCAGAGCAGGCTGGCAAGACCGGTGCTCAGCTCCAGGCAATTGAGGACCAATGGACCAGCCAGGCGGGCCTCAAGATCTTCAACGACGCCGTCATCGACACCATCAACGCCGGCTCCCACGCCAACAAGAAGAGCCTCGTCGACCAGTACCTCGCTGCCTCTAAGGGCAAGAACAACACCGAGGCCCGCGCCATCGCCAAGAACCTCACCGGCGTCGACATCTTCTGGAACTGGGAGACTCCCCGTACCCGCGAGGGCTTCTACCGCTACCAGGGCGGCACCCAGTGCGCCGTCAACCGTGCCGTCGCATACGCGCCCTTCGCCGATCTCATCTGGATGGAGAGCAAGCTGCCCGACTACAACCAGGCCAAGGAATTCGCCGACGGCGTGCACGCCGTGTGGCCCGAGCAAAAGTAAGTTTCTCTTAACCTTGAGTTTCCCGTCACTATACTAGATCCTCAACTAACAAACACCCGCTAGACTCTCCTACAACCTCTCACCCTCCTTCAACTGGAAGAAGGCCATGTCCCGCGACGACCAGGAGACCTATATCAAGCGTCTCGGCCAGCTCGGCTACGCGTGGCAGTTCATCACCCTGGCTGGATTGCACACTACTGCGCTTATCTCGCACCAGTTCGCGAAGGCGTACGCGCAGAACGGCATGCGCGCCTACGGCGAGCTCGTGCAGGAGCCGGAGATGGAGCAGGGTGTTGATGTTGTTACCCACCAGAAGTGGAGTGGTGCTAACTATGTTGATAATCTGCTGAAGATGGTCTCTGGTGGTGTGAGCAGTACTGCTGCTATGGGTAAGGGTGTGACCGAGGATCAGTTCAAGAACTGATTTATCGTGCGGCTCATGTTGATACCCTGATGGTCTTGTTTTTATGTTGATTGTGGCGCTTTGCTTTGGTTTCTTACTATACAGTCTTGATTTGATTCCCTGTCGGTCTTGCTCTCCCGTTTGATGGGTGGGCCGATTTATTTTGCATTTTGGAAATCATAGCATAATTGATTCTTATCTTGAATGGATATGACTTTTTGGAAGATATTTTGTTGAATTTATAGATGGAGGGCTATTAGAAAAGCTTTATAATGTTAAGTTTGCAACCCGTAAATCTACCTCCGGAGAGTCGGGAGGAAAAGCGCACTTGGTAATAAAAACCACGAAGATACCTACAAAGAAAGAAACGATGTCACACTATACTCTTTATTTCGATTTTGTGGGCCGGTAAACCGAGGCGAAACCCCAATCATTAAGTGATGGATCTATCAGGTACATAGACTGCAGTGATGATAGAGAATACAGGCAACATTGTCAACCTATCTTCTTTTCTATCTGATGGCCCTATAAGCTCTGTCCTATAAGATGAATATGGACATTCCATTCAACATAAAACCAACGGGATAAAGGCTATCTATAAGACAAGCCTGAAAATTTGGCTGTAAATGAAGAATCCACCGGGCTGTCCAGGGATAGGCTGCAAAAGGAAAGTCGCCGAAAATGACAATGGCTTATCAAACTCATTGTCGATCTGTTGCATTCAAGGCCAGGTATTAGTTATTTTCAATCTTACATGTAGGTATGGTATTTCACTTACAGCTAGACTTCCAGTGACAACTACTAGAACACCTCCACTCGTAGCTGGGGTAGCATCTGTGGACGAGACCATGGTCTTCACAGCCTTCAGCTCGGGTTTCTAGGGCGAAGGGACAAGTTAGACGTGGATATTCGATATGCATTTATATATTTGATGAATCACTCACAGTTAAGGCTGACATGATATTTTGCGCGCCTTGCTGTTGGTTGCCCTCCCATACTAACATTGACTCGGGACGCTAATCAAAGTCAGCTTTCCCTCCATAGATCCTATCATCTTGTCTCCAAACTAGTCCGTGGACTAAAACATACGTAGAGGGAGGCCAGGTTGCTCCTTGCGTCCGCATTATCGAACGTTCGAAAGTAGTGCTGAACGAAGGCCTCTAAATGAAGTTAGCAATCATACTTCGGTGAGATGAGAGAGTTGCTGGAGATTATATATAGTAATAGAGAAGTTGGGGCTACATACGGGATATTGCCTGAAAATCCATTGTTGGCTGAATGTAAAACTTGTTAGCGAACTTGATCTCAGTTGCTCTGGACTTTCCAAAGCTATGTAGTTATAGTTGTGTGAAAAGTATGGAAAACGAACAGAGCTAGCTTCGATTTTTAGGTGATTGAATGTTGTTGAATGAAAGCGGAATTGTAATGATTACGACTCAATTATTACTCCAAACGCACACATTTATATAGCCAAGGACAAGTTGCCCCGCTCCAAAGCCCTACATAGCGATAGAAGTGTGCTGGCAGTGCATGGAGTTATTGCAAAATCTACTGACCGCATCTTTCAGTTATGCATACATCAGTCACAAAAAAGTAAATCTGGCTACTTCTGATCAATCAATATCTAATTCCGGCTAGACAGATCGGCCAAGAATAGTTTATGTCCTGCAAGATTTTATCTCAATATGATGTTCTTCAGCCGGTGCCCCAATCAGCTGCTTCACACCCCTCCGCGGGCATGTCGACCTCGCCACTACATTATATCTACCCTGTGATAAAAGCTCCCGTATTTGATAGCGCAGGCTAAAAGCTCTCAACAGCGGTGCTGCCACTTGTTTTCTGGCTAACTATATTTATTTTAGTCTTCGGACGGGGAAGATAGTCTCTAATTGTCGCGACCTCAAACGTGTGTGATGGGTCTCACCCCCTCTTTATCCACACTTTGAACTTTGAACTTTGTGCAGTTCTCTACGGAATTCTCCATTACTCCATATTGTCGTCACTGATAATTGGCGTGCAAATTGCGAACTCTATTATTTGCTTTTCGGATACGAGGTAAGTGTGGATAGATCGTAAGATTCCCAGCTTAGTACAGAATATAGAGCACAACTTTGAGTCTTAGAATCCGCGGAAATAGCACTAGACATTTTGATATGGTTGGGGAAAATGAATTATCGGACAGCAAGTGCTGCCGTGGAAATCCTGATAAGAAAGTTTATCATACAATATTTGATGCTATAGTTCAACAAAATGTGAAGTTGCTGTGCCATTCCGTACATATATATGCAAATACTAGATAAGTATACTAGTATTTAAAAAAAACAATGTACTGGTTACCGTAGTATGACAATTTTTAGTATTTGAACGGTTGCAAAGTGGTAATCTGATTTATAGTATCGCCGAGACCCAGGTGGTACTATATTGTAACGGGCCAGAGCCCAATGTTGACCAAGTGTGTCACGTGATATTATGTATACTCGCCCCCCAGGAGGCTCTAGGTGTTACTTTTCCTCAAGCTTTCAATAGACAGATTGTCGGTCACACCTAATTGAATCCAATTTGGTCTGAGCCCTTCACACATATACTCCAAAAAGTTATGCTAGGGCTTCTTACTATTTAGCTAGCGCCCCTTGCTACCCACAGATTACCCTGTATTGATCTCTTTTGCATTCACGATAGAACCAATTCATCATCAAGATACTGCCTGTCTAGCCAATACTGTTATGTATAGCTTGCTGTGACAGTTCGTGGGGTTGTGGGTTGAACAGCGTTTCTATACCTAATCGGGACTAGCCCCAGGCAGATCACCCCCACTTTATGAAGCTTAGCGCTCCGCTCCCTTGAGAAACTACTCATACTACTTTCAAGCTACCCAGTTCTATCTTCGTCGACATGTCACTAGAGGTACCTGCTTGCAAGAATCATCATGACACTTCATTCCAGACCGAGTGACTTCGATGCCTGATTCCTCCGCCGCCTGGTAGGGACTAGGGTCACTACCTTTGATGACTTCGACCTCCTGCAACAGCTATCTGCTGTCTCTCCCTCTGCAGCCCGCCCTCCTGGGGTCTCCCCTCTCGCAGGCTCGCCTCCTCCTCCAGGGGTCGGCCGCTCGTGGATCATCACGGAAAAGCTCTCAGAGAGGGCTATGCATCTCACACAGGAAGAAGTGGATATGGGCGTTGGGTCTCCTATGACGGTTAGCAAATTTCTGTGCCACCTAGAGGAGGACCCGAGCCAGATAGCGTTTATGCGAATATATTATCAGATTCCTATTGGACGGAAGACGCTGATCTGACTACACTAGCCCAACAAATCCAACCTTCTGAGGCGTGTGGTGAACTGGAGGCGTTTAAGCTATTGATGAGTCAAGGCTGTAGCTCTGTTCCATGCTTCCTTGATTACTGCGAAAAAATGCAAGGGGAACATGATCTCGTTCCTGGTGACTATGTCAAATACCTCGTATGGGAAAAGGTGCCTGGGGAGCCTCTTACAGAGGAATTTTTCTGGAGCTTGGATCCCCTGGTACGAGAGGATATCCGTGCCAAGTTTCATGTTGCCTTTGAGTCAGTTTATGCAAACGCAAATTGGCAGACAAAAAACGTTAATCTAATTAACAGAGAGATGCTACGTTGCGGTGTCAAACCACAGGAGTCTAGAATCTCAAAGATCATCTATGATCAGTCCACTGACAATGTGTACGTCAAGGATTATACATGTATTGGGAATATTTACTAATGAGTTCAGTCGCATCTCGGGGTTCCGAAGGGGATGGCCAATCCGTGATAAACTTGAATGGTCAGACACCCGTTATATCGCGTACATGCTAGCTTAGCAACCCGACGAGAGGGACTAGCGTTCTCGCCCGGAGAAATGGGAGTTATGAAATGTCAGCAATGTTGCGGTTTGTGAGTATCAGGTTAAGTTTAAATTGCTGCTCTCCGTCCAAGTTATGCAAGTCGAAGGTTTTATTTATTCTCAGTTAACCACGACACTCCCGCCATCCTTCATGACCAAGATCTTTGAAAGCCGCACAACTGTCGTTCCACCTAGCTGACGAAGAATAGGACAAGATGTGACAGAATTAAGATCCTTTCCATCTAGTGGAAAAGATCCATCAGGGTCATGACTTTGTGGCTTAGGGTAGAGATATCAGTAAATAGTATTCAATAGACTATGAGTAAACATACATAGACTACTGGGCGTAGAAAAAATCCATTTCAGTGAGATAGATAGCAATAAAAGTGAGAGTATTGCATAGGGACGACCTTCTTCAAGGCTAGGAGAACGTAGGCCCCACCGGCGCCAAGAGTGTGCTATCCACAACCTACTCCATGAGCACGTGACTCCATAAGCACGTGACTAGTCACTGAATAGCTAGTCACATGTTACTCCGTATACATTGAAAAGTTGGTTTGCACATTTTACACCTTTGTCACTGTTTTTTATTTTATCGTCCTCCCTAAGACTGCCACGAGGAAAGATATCTACAAGATATACAAAAAACACATGCATAAAGGTATCAAAAAACCTCCAAAAAAAGACATCAAAAACAACGGTCCGCAAGAGCATTTTGAACCACCTAAGACTTACTATGCGAGCTCATGGGGCATGATTGGTTAGAGAAAGCGGGGTGCGCGGTGTTTTGTCTGCAAGGTTGTCTCCTTCAGGGCTGTCATCACAACAAAAACCACACGATTTTACTTGCTTTGCACCTAATACCATCTTAATGTCGGAGTCTGAGATATCCGAGTTGCGCCGACGCCTGGCAGAAACTGAACAACAATTAAGCGAAGAAAGGCTCCAGAGTCGACAGGCTAAACAGCGAGAGGTTGAGGCGAAACAGCGAGAGGTTGAGGCGAAACAGCGCGAGGTTGAGGCGAAACAGCGCGAGGTTGAGGCGAAACAGCAAACTCAAGAAACCACTCTTCCCGAGTTCCTCGACGCTTGCCATGTTCACTTATTTCTTGGTCTGGCTATACAGCCAAACCCGGACTCGTCAACTAAAGGCGATCCAGCAAATGCAAATAAAAAGCTTCGCCCAGCTAAGATATGCGAGTGGATGGGGTTTCCTCTGGAGCAGACAGCTATATGGACAGATCTCATGGACATCGATTTTGTCACCCAACGCCACTTTTCGCCCCTAATTGTGCTGGAGCGAAATGGGAAAGAGGTGCGACAAAAAATGTTGAGCTCAGAGCTCGATCTCGGTCATTTTGAACGGTCTACGATCGAGTTTCGTGTCGCCGAGGTCATTAAACAACTCTTTGCAAGCCCTCAGCTCCGACAAGTCTTTCGCCTTAATGGAGATGTAACGTTCGAAAATCATGCGAATACATTGACGGACGAATCAAATATAGTGGATAATATGGGGTCCCTGAGCTTGGCACAGGAACAACCGCGTCGCTCAGGGAGATTGGCCGCGAAACAGTCCCATAGGTTCCAATTACCACTTCCAGCCCAGTCAGTTGTGAAAGACAAAGGACCTGCGCTGCAAGTGCCTTCTCGACCCAGAGCAGACCAGTTTTGTGTGTACAACAAAGGCCCCGAGGAAAAGGTTCCCGCCTTCATTGTCGAATACAAAGCGCCGCATAAGCTCAAGCTCGCTCATATAAAGGCTGGACTTATGGACATGGAGCTCGACGAAGTGGTTCATTATCGGGAAGTTGAAACGCCAGAAGATACTTGCCGGCGCCTCGTGGCTGCGGTCATCACACAGGCGTTTTCCTACATGATCAATGGAGGACTGGAGTATGGATATGTGTGTACAGGCGAAGCATTTATATTTCTTCGTGTTCCACACGATGATCCTTCCACTGTATACTATTATCTATCGGTGCCGAAAGAAGACGTTGGGGATACAACTGGATGGACCGGTAACCCCAATGATGATAACAGATTACACTTGACAGCACTCGGCCAGGTGTTGGCCTTCACTCTCCGAGCTTTGCGAACACCGCAGCGGGGTATTCAGTGGAGGAACTGGGCGGTGGGAAAACTAGACATATGGGAAATTATATACGACGGCATTTGGGACGATATATCGGAATTGGACGTGCCATCTTCGGTATTCAAGTCCCCGCAGAGCAGAAGCAAATACTGTCGCGTGTCTCCTGTCAAGACACGATCGAAGTCTACTGATGCAGGTTTCGCATCCTGTACTCCGTTGAGGGCTCTGAATTCGTCCGAGTCTGATGATTCTCCCGACGAATCTGACTCAAATACCCCCAGTCGAAGGCCCCGGGTTTCCCGCGGCACTAAATTTTCAGCCTTGCCATCATCATCATCGACTGCAACAATGTCACGAGAAGGCTCTCACTCAAAGGGAAAGTCTCGCCAGTATTGTACGCAACGGTGCCTCTTAGGCTTGGCCACAAGAGGGACATTGGATCAGAAATGCCCCAATGTGCTGGAGCACGGGGTTGACCGACATTCAATCAGTCAGGCGACACTCATTCGTCTCTTGGATCGGCAACTCTCGGGGCATGACCCACAGCCTGACGTGGAGTTAGGATGTGAGTCCTTGCATATTCATGGCACACGCGGTGCCCTTTTTAAAGTGACCTTGTTATCTCATGGGTATACTTTCGTTGGCAAAGGTGTGCCCATCGAATTTGTTGAGCACGTCAAACATGAGGAAGGCGTGTATTTGCGTCTTCGTCCAATACAAGGGGTGCACGTGCCGGTTCTACTAGGTGGCCTGGCTCTCCGTCGACCATTTTCTTACGATGGCATCGCGGAGATTGTGCATCTGATGTTGATGGGGTATGCGGGCAGGACGCTGGCCAAACGACATGAAATTGAACAAAATTGGTTAATTCGACAAGCCGAGGCCTCGCTACATGCTATTCACAGATTAGGCGTACTCCACAGTGATCCGATCCCCGGGAACATGGTCTGGAATGAGGACAGTGAGCGGGTAATGTACATTGACTTTGAGCGGGCGCAGTTCCAAGAAGCACGACCTCCACTGGAATCTATGTCGCCAAATCAAAAACGCAAGCAAGCGACGGACGCATGGGAAAAGACCCCTAATAAACGCTCTAATTGCTTTGAGCGTGAAACCCGACGCATGAGGCATGGCTTACGATGGTAACCGAGCCAATCAACAGTACATATGTAATGTATCTTTGCCCGAAGAAGAATTTGTTTCTAAGCCGGTGCACACCTGACAGAACGGATGGACACTGGGATATTCCATCGACCAAGAAGAGCGCATTATTAATTATAAGTGGATTACTATCTATCCAGGTTTTTTTTTTGATACCCCAATTTAATGATTCAACGATCCTTTCAATGTCATATATCTTTTGATATGTTTTTCTAGGGAAGATATTTTATGTAGTACAAATGCTAATGCTTGGACGTTGGCTAGAAATGTTACAGCTTATATGTTTTAAAAACATCACTCTTGATAGACCAAATGATTCCCTAGAGAATCCCAAGCTAATAAGAGTCCAAGGTTACCAGGTCCCACTTTTCGCAGTGCCGATCATAGAGCGGGGCAGATGGTGTGAAGCCGCGGTACCTACTTTCTATGTAGGTACATAGGTACCTAGCATTATTCTGATATGTAATCTGACGTATATTCCAAGGTTGTATGAAGAGGTAGTACTGCATCGGAGGGGAATTGCAGAGCAAAACGAAATAGGAAGAGTCACCGGCACAGAAGCAATGAGCCGAGAGCTAGCATGTGGGCCTTAGAATAGGGGGTACTTTATATCAGAGCTTTGTGCGTGGACTAAAGAATTAATTGCCTAGGTTCATGGGCTGCGTAGATCCTATAGAGGGGGGGTGCCACTTATATTCGTACTAAAACCACTTGACATTTTTTTTATCCCTCTTTTTCTTCTTGACCTTGATATATTTTAATTTATCGTCTATCTTCATCATGGTCGAACTACCTGAATTTAAAGCTACTTCGCTTGACCAGATTCCCGTGCGCGTCTCTACGGCCCGCAAGGCGTTTCATGAGCACAAGACCCGCGACCTGGAGTTTCGCCTCGTGCAGCTCCGCAAGCTGTACTGGGCGTAAGTGCTAAATTCTTTTTCCCTTTCTTGTCAATTAATTAACAATTTTCTAGCATCAAAGACAATGAGGAGGAGATTATGGAGGCCAGCGCCCAGGACCTGAACAAGCCTCGGTTCGAGACCAACATTGCAGAGAGCGGATGGATCCTGAACGACATTGTCTTCACAACGCGCAACCTCCACAAATGGGCCAAGGATGAGAAGGCCCCCGATATTGATCTTGCGTACAAGTTCATGAGCCCCAAGATCAGAAAGGATCCTCTGGGTACTGTGCTGGTCATTGGGTATCCCTTCCCTCCCTCGCGATGCGCAGAAAAAAAAATACCTCGAAGACTAACAAGCTCCCTCCACTCTAGTGCTTTCAATTTCCCCTTCCAGTTGACTCTCGGCCCCGTCATTGGGGCCATCGCCGCCGGAAATACAGTCGTGATCAAGCCTAGCGAGAATTCTCCGCGCTGCGCCGCTCTCATGCAAAAGATAATTGAGGCCAGTCTCGACCCCTCATGTTACACAGTCATTCAGGGCAGTATCCCCGAGACACAAGCCTTGCTTGCCGAACGGTGGGACAAGATCTTCTTCACGGGCGGCGCCACCGTCGGACGCATCATCGCCAAGGCCGCTGCACAGCATATGACACCTGTCGTGCTTGAGCTCGGCGGTATCAACCCGGCCATCGTGTCCAAGAACGCGAACCCGCGTCTCGTCGCCCGCCGCATGCTATGGGGTAAGCTCATGAACGCTGGCCAGGTCTGTACCTCGCAGAACTACATGCTGGTCGATAAGTCGCTCGTTGCGGAGGTCGTCCAGGAGTTCAAGAACGCGTACAAGGAGTTCTACCCCCAGGGTGCTAAGGGCTCGCCCGATTATGCACGCATCGTTAACCAGGCCGCCTTCGCCCGTCTTAAGTCTATGCTTGATAATACTAAGGGTAAGATCCTTATGGGTGGCACTATGGATGAGAAGGAGCTGTTTATCGAGCCGACCGTGGTCCAGGTTGACTCCGTTGAGGACTCCATGTGCTCGCAGGAGAGCTTCGGTCCCTTCATCCCCATCTTGCCTGTCGAGAACCTCGACGAGGCCATCAGCCTGGCCAATGGTGTGCAGAGCACACCGCTGGGTCTTTACCCCTTCGGTAGCAAGGCAGATGTTGAGAAGAGTAAGCTTCTCTCTTTTTCCCTGTTTTATTTGATACCCCACAAAGACAGCTATTCTAACCCTATCTCCTAGTTATCTCTTCCACCCGCTCCGGCGGCGTCTCCTGCAACGACGCCGCGCTGCACATCCCAACCCTGCCCTTCGGCGGTGTCGGTGAGAGTGGCTACGGTGCCTACCGCGGCCGCTCCAGCTTCGACGTCTGGGTGCACCGCCGCCCCATCACCTCCAGCCCAAGCTGGCTGGAGTCCATCCTGGCTATCCGGTACCCGCCGTACGCCGGCAAGATCAGCACGTACAATGCTGCCAGCGCCCTGCACCCCGACTTCGACCGTACCGGCAAGAAGCTGAGTCTCAGTTGGCTGCGCTGCATCCTCACTTTGGGTGGAGGCAGTGCGAAGGCTGGGGCCGGCAGAGCTACTGCTCTTGCTGTCAGTAAGTGATTCCTCTAATTTTCTTTACTTGTTTTGCTATTTCCGTGAATATTTTCCACATTTTGCACACATCCATCTGTCTTGGGGGTGGGTTTAATCTGGTACTGGGGACTTTTCTCTAGAGGAGAACTAAATTCCAGGATCCCTGCTCCCACCCTCGTCTGTGGCTGCTTACATGGCCCCGACGATGAAGACGCATATTGTTATATACCCCCAACCTCATGTACTGGCTTAATTCTGTCTGTTCTACCCCCTCCGAGGATGTCTCTCCTTACCATTTCCTTTTCATCACAATCTTACCTACATACTGTCATACCCCGGAATCGAGAAAAGAAGATACACTCATAATCCGTGAATATTAATTAATCTCACCCTTTTTTCGGGTTCCCTTTTTTTGTCATCCCCCTATCATTCTATTGCGTTCTTGCATCTGCTCCAATCATTGCAATCTGCAGATCACACCTATCAAGCCTCTTGAAAATTACAGTCTAACCCGAAACAGTTGCCTACATCATCCTGCAGGTCCTCGAACGCCGATCTTCGAAATTGTTTGCCCCTGAAGTTGGATACCCGTTTTGATTAACCATGTGCCATCCAAACGAGTTGTCCCTGTTTTAGTGCTGATTACTCGTTTTCTTGGAGAAGTCGGGTTTCGGCTTGGATCAGCATGTGTGGATTATATTCGGGATTTTTCTATCATATGTTGTAGTAAGATAATTTGCCATTTAGGTAGGTACGTTTTGGATTTTATCGCTCCTAGGTTATGCTTTCTCTATGTGAGCCATGTATATTGAAATCATTGATGTCTTTTTGGTTACCTCTGAAGTCTATTACCCTGTAAGTGAATGTGTAGTCTATCTACCGAGTAGACATCATCGCATTGATATTGGAGCCTTTGCACAACAATCCAATAGCCTACGGCATTACATCAACGTAAACCCCTCATTGAAAAACAGAGACAGAGATCTAAATTTTATATCATCATTCATGCTGTCAAATGCAGTGATTGTCGAATGCGCTATCCAACCCAGACGAATGTCTCGGTTCATCCGACCAAAAGAAGAAACCAAGTCAAGTTACCTTGGCTCTCAGCAGCGCCGTTCCACGCCGCGATTACTCACACAAAGGTACTTGACGCCCTTGTATGGCTTGACACCTTCGCCTAAGCCGCGACTGCGACGATGGTCGATGTTGAGACTGTCCACCTTGATACCAGAGGGAAGCCAGCCTCGCACGGAGAAGGATACTGACGCCGAGTTCGGCATCAGGCTTGCATTGACCTGGGTTTTGGTTCGGCGTGTGTGGCGGGATGTAGATGAGGGGGCGAAGAATGAGGGGAGGTGCGCGTTAGACTGGGATTGTGATTGGGGAAGGGGTGTGGGGGGAGGTATAGAGGGATTTGGGGATGGAGCGGTAGTTGTAACGGGGTCTTCTTCCGCGTCTTCGGGGTTTAAGGCAGCGGAGCGGGAGGATTTCTTTGTGGACTTCTTCTTTTTCTTTTTGCGCTTGGAAGGGTCGGAGGATCGGGTTTTCTTTGATGTACTGGCGGATGCATCGTTGTAGGAGGTAGGCGCCTCGTAATAGCCTTGCAGGAGGTTGGCATTGGCATCTTCGTCGGCATCCTCGACGCTGTCGTCAAGATCATCATCGGCAGATGGATAGCCTGAGACACTGCAACGCAGTGTTGCAGTGCCAGTCAATGTGCCGGCATCCTTGCCAGTGGGAATCCGCCACTCGAGGAGCCCGCTTGAATGCGTGAATTGGGCGTCACCACGGCTGGCCTGCATGTCCGTGATATGGCGAACGGAATTTGAGATCGGTACGCTAACGACAACCTCTTCAAGTGCTGGCCCGGAGCTTCCACTTCCGCCCCCACCTAAGAATGACGGCGTTGATGTGCCAGATCCACCTCGGGTAGCTCCAGGCCGCGAGGATGAGCTGTGGCCCGGGAAATTTGTGTTCAAAGTGAGACGAACCTCAAACTCGGAACCAGATGGCCCGAGCGATTTACGGATATCCACAATAGCAGGTAGGAAAAGCTTTTCCATATGGCTTGGTGGCTCATCTAAATCGGGATCTATGGGAAGGAGATCAACTTCATATCCAGCTAAGATAAACCGCCCATCGGGGGGTATGAAGCTGAGCTCTCCCGGCCGTTCCTTCCATCGAGCCAGTCGAACACATGGATGGAAAACTGGAAGTTCGATCTTGCGAGCGAGAACATGCTGGCCACCTGGGGCTGATAACGATAGTAGTAGGTCCGGGACTCCCGATATCTTCGCAGTGAATGCAATGGTCCCGGATACCAACGCAGACAGCAGGCGTCCCGAAGGAGCCATAGTAACAGAGAGAGATTCAATGATATCGACATACAGCTCATTAGAGGTATGCCGTACCCCAGGCCGTCGCCAAGGAATGGCGGGTCCTTGTGACGCACTGGCGGCAGCGAGAGATTGCTTGAGAGGTTTGGTAGAGCCTA